AGCGTGGTACCGTATAGTAGTGTGTCAGACTGGCCTTCGGGATGTTGGGTGAGGCTGATGTAGTGCTTCTGCAGGGTTTAAGGTTTCAGAAGCTACATACGCCAGGTTCTGTCTACGTTCTCGGAGGGTTTGGAGTCTGGGATTCTGGGGAGCTCCAGGTCTCGGAGATTCTTGTCCGACACAATCGCTTGGTCCCAGACTCTTCCTTGTGGTTTGGTCTGCCTTGCACAGAGTTTGGAGTTTGGAAGTGATGCCAGGGGGAACGGACTCCAAATGTGGCTCTGGTGAGGTTATTTCTATTTGTTGGCATTTGGTACTGCTGCTGCGTGTCCTGCCTGCGACATGTCCGGTCCTCTGAAAGAGATGTTCGCAAATTTATTCGGGCAGCTTCGCAATACTGGCAGTTTCCTCGAAATTCTAAGTGCACCTTCAGATTGAAGTCGGTCGTCCTGTCTCCATTCCCGGCTTCGGGCGGTCGGACAAGGGGCTTCTTGGTGAGAACGCCCGACTGCTTTGCTCTAGTCTGCCTTCGTGAATAAACAAGCAAAAAGATACACGAACAAAGAAACAGCATGTGTATACGTATACATATACATAAAGCAGATATACATAGTACATAATACACATTGCATACACATGTACATATACATATCCGAGCTCATGTTACATCGTAATTTTGGGAAGGCCCGCCATAAACCTTCCGGGCGAGGACCTGTTTATGCAGAAGGTCCGAAAAGCTGCAGACCTCGAGCCTATAACCTTACTCACGACTGCTACAATACTTGCGCAAATGGTACGGTAGGCATATAGGACTCTGAGGAGCAACCTTGGCATCGACACGCCAAGCTACAGCAGCAGATCGGCATTGTCATACCGTTTTGCCGTCCGTTCTTGAACGAGACCATTATTGTTATTGTCAGTGTTTTCATCGCCTTCTTATCATTCTTGTCATTATTATTATGATTAGTTAATATTATCATTATTTAGGCATACCATCACTACGTGGTTTCCATTTTTTATGAACGAATCACAAATCGCAGGAGTTTCAGCGCCTCATCGGCCTCCGGCTTAGCTACCGGAAGCCCAGCGGCTCGGGCGAAGCAGAGGCCCAGCCGAGCATCGGAAGCTTTCAGAGCCAAAGCTCTTTGTATTCGTGCAGTAGAAGAGCCCTATAAGAGGAATAAAAAATAAACATGTGAACGATAATCATTAGAATAATCATAATAACGGGGTTTGGGGTTTAGGGTTTAGGGCCTGGATAGATCCTGACTGATCCCCAAATCTTGGCAGGAGGCTCTGGCGTCGCGTGAAATTCAATGCTTCTGACCCCTGAAATTCAAGAGGCTGCCCCCGGCTCCACCAACAGGTGCAGTGAAAGGTATACTTTATTGCAGATGACAATCGTTGGTTTCCTTTTGTGGTGTCCAGCAAACAGTTGCTTAGCCTCGTCATCGTCGTGATCACCATCATCATCATCATCATATTATTAAAATTTTTCGTTACTGTCATTGTTTTGGGGTCCGCATAATAAGCATCCTACTTTTTCGGGATGTATTGGGGTCCCCTATTTTCCTTTGCGCGTTTCTGTACGCAGGATGCCGGCCCGGCGCGCTTCGGCTCTGCACGACGCGAGGAGGCCTCGCGCGAGAGGGGCGAGATGCTGGGCCATAACAGGGTTTAGGGCTGGGGGTTTGAAGTCGAG